GTTCGACACACTACTCGAAGACCTCGGGGCTGAGGGGCACCAAACTCTCCGTGTTTACCGAAAAAAAAAGGTGAGAGCTCTGTGCACCCTTGTGCATTGGTATATCTGCTCTCCCTTCGTGCCCGCCTTAGATGTATCCGAACGATGACCTCGCACCGGCCCGTAATCAATTGAGTGCGCTCGTGTCGTTTGTCTCTTGATGCAGACGGCCGACAAATCGCGACACAATCTCTGTGAAGTTATTTGTGCGCATTCGGGACGCGTACGCACGAAAGATCCGACAAAACGAGAGGGAAACCCCAGGAAGAGAACGTCGCAGAAGGTGAGCTGTGTTGAACAATCATAATGGCAGCCTGACCTCCAGTTGCTCGACATGCTCGATGTATAACCTGGTGATCGCGCACCTGGTGCGAAGTACTGGTATCGCATCGTGTCCTTGGTTGCACATTTGCCTTGGGGTTGATGACCGTTTCACTCTTTACCTCCCGCGATCTCCGCTTCTTACTCTGGCATGGAATAGGTGGGGTGCCCTTTCCAGCTCACCATCACTTGGCCGCTGCGGGGGAGTAACCCATCCATATCCTCTGTGAGTTCGGGCCTCTTTTCAATGTACGGCATCTTGACCAACATCCACGCATATAGTCCCCATCTACCCGTGTTGCTGTTTTGAACTACTCGACAGGATGTACATGCAGTCTACATGCTTGGGACATCTGATCGCACTGATTCTGACATGCTTAAGACATCTGATCGCACTGATTCTGACATGCTTAAGACATCTGATCGCACTGATTCTGACATCCTTAAGACATCTGAGAGTACTGAGTCTGGAACTGAGTTGCTCCGGTCTTTCGTCGAACCCTCCAGTCTCGCTGCCAACACAACCACGACTCACGGGGAGCGGTGTCCAGTGCAGCCAAGCACATCCTGTCGCCAAACACTGTCGACGTGAGGATTGACGATATCCGGACATGGACTGTGGGGGGCGTATCAGCACAGCAAATTATCAAACTGCTGGAACTAGACCAGGACGGTCTCCTCTTGTGCAAAAAGGGAAGACGAAAAGTGGGTGGCTACAGTTGGGAGTCCAACGACGTTCAGTATAGATGTGAATTAGCAGGAAAGAGCAGTGAAATAGTGGAGCTGTCGCATTCTCGGCGTTTCTCATTATATAACACCGTTGCCTACTGAGGCAGACAAGTCTTCTTGCAGTGCTTCCCCATCATTGTGTTAAGTGGCGGGAAGAATTTACCCTCTTGTTCCCTTGCATTTCTTTTCATAACGCCGTTTTCGTACAAAAGGTGTACAACAAAATGCAGAAGGTAAACGACGCGTTGAACGCGAAACCCGAGGAAGCAACCGACTTCCTCGCGACTCTGAAAAGCGAACCTGGCATGCACTGCGATCACACGCTGGATGCCCAGGGACGATTGGTGTTTTGGTCTACCGTCCAACAGCAAAAACAGATTGCAAGATCTGGGGGCTGCATACAGCTCGATACAACGGTGTTCACGAACAGATGCACACAAAATCTTCGACAGGTTACAAGACTCCACAGCACATGTGGAACCGCTCGTTACGCTACGCTGCTCATGGTTTCCCTTTAAACCCTCCGCTCGTCGTTTGTGGTCGAGGGATTTGGTGCAACTAGAATGAGTATCAATGCGTCATGTAGCTTGGGCTGACTGTTTGTCTGTAGGTACGGGTGCCCCCTTCTGTTCGTCGTGGGCGTCGACGACGAACGTCGCAGCTGCATTTCGGGGCAGGGCCTGCTGCGGTCTGAGTGTACGGAGACGTTCGAATGGATCCTGAACAGATATGAGGCCGCTGCCGGTGGGCGGAAGCCGAAGGCGACCCTGTCACGATGTACACAACACTCTTTCATGGCGTAGAACGAGGTCAGGATGATGTACAGTATGAAGTCGCTTCGATAAAGGATCAAATAGACGTCCATATTTGTTGAGGCATGTACTGCAGACGCAGAAGAGCTTGTCTAGTGGCTGTCGACATAACCGCGCCGTCCATGGCCTATCCCATCCGTTGACAACGTACGTCTACCCTTTGCCACAGGTGATCTTGACCGACGCTGATCTTGCAATGACGGCTGCAATAGCCTCTTGCTGGCCAGGGACGCTGCATTTGCACAGCTTGTGGCACGTCTTCAAGAACGTCCTCAAGAACTGCTCGTCATCATTTGCTAACAATGACGACAAGACCGACATGATGCGTTGCTTCAGGAACGCAGCTTTTGCAGCTCCCCCGGAGGTACGATGGCAATCACTCGTACGTTGCCGCCACACGACACCCCCGAGAGAATGGATTGGTCTACCCCACCAGTTCGCCCCGCCACAACGAGCGGTAAACATAACTTTTGACGTATCTTGTGTTTACCACTGTATTCGGTGGCAGGTGTTTGGGACCCAAGTGGCCCGGTTGGAGCAACTTGTGGCCGGCAAGAAGTGCAAAGGATACATAGCGGACTTGATCAAGTGAGTAACTTCCCTCCGTACATTTCGAGGAAGCGCCGAAATGCGGTCATGATGCCTTGGCTTGAGCCATGAACGCCGCGTTTTCACGCTCGATACTCACTCTCTCACTCTGGTACGGTCATGAACCGTCGTAGGAACAAGACCAAGTGGGCGTTCTGCTGCCGACCCACTGTCCTCACGCTAGGCATGGTTGCTACTCAGCGCACCGAAGGTTTGTTCGGGGTGGCAAAACGCTTGGGCGTCGAGAAGAAGCTCTCTTTGTGCGCCCTTTAGGATCGCCTGCAACGTCTCAGCAAGATGATTGCCATGGAGACTGCGAGGTGAATTTTCTGTTGTTTTCGTCACCCATGGCAGCAGGAGGTATCCGCGTGCTTCGATTTATGGGATATTCCGATGTGTTATACGACGCGCGCATTTGTCTCTACCTGCAGCTACAGACACTGGTGGCGGATCGATATTGTCTGTGGATTTCTCCCTCCGCTACACATTATGTAACACTGCTTTTCATGCCATGCATGCAGGTTAGCGACACCCCCCCTTGGCGCTGGCGTGGCCTTCCGGGATATCCATGGAGAATTCCTTCAGACCCGTGAAACAGGAGCTCCTAGCCTGTGGTGCTAGCCAGTACTGCCAGCAAGTGAGTCGTGTTTTGGTACATGGATCGTTGCCGCTGTTGAATTCGTGCGATGGTGTGTCCGTGATTTATCAAGCTGACACCATCAGTAGAACTGAAACCCCATNTTCAAGATGACACCATCAGTAGAACTGAAACCCCATCGAACACATATTCGCACTGTCGAACCTCATTGCATCGCAGGAGGTCAGAGCGCTGGTAGGCGAAGCGCAGTCGTATGACACCGAGTTGGTGAGCTCAGGTCGTGTGGAGGAAAACGGGGACCCGCTGCCTCTCTACGAGCACGACCTCGCCAAGATTCGCTCATTGTGCCTCAAGCTCAACATTCTTCAGGTCGCACCACCTGATACCGATCTCGAGGGAGACCAGTTAGCCGGCGAAGCTGCGGTGGACAACACTATGTGGGCGC